ACGTAAATACAAAATAAACTTGTCCGAGAGCTTTTCTTCTTAATCTTCACCTATCTCTTGCTCATGAGAAAATCTAGTCTAGTCTGTAGTGTAGTCTATAGTCTAGTCCATAGCCTAGTCTATAGTCTAGTCTATACACTAGTCTATAGTCTAGTCTATAGCCTAGTCAATAGCCTAGTCTACAGTCTAGTCTATAATCTAGTCTATAGTCTAGTCTATAGTCTAGTCTATAGTCTAGTCTATAGTCTAGTCTTCTATAGTCTAGTCTAGTCTATAGTCTAGTCTATAGTCTAGTCTAGTCTATAGTCTAGTCTATAGTCTAGTCTATAGTCTAGTCTATAGTCTAGTCTATAGTCTAGTCTATAGTCTAGTCTATAGTCTAGTCTATAGTCTAGTCTATAGTCTAGTCTATAGTCTAGTCTATAGTCTAGTCTATAGTCTAGTCTATAGTCTAGTCTATAGTCTAGTCTATAGTCTATTCATAGTCTATTCTATAGTCTAGTCTATAGTCTAGTCTATAGTCTAGTCTATAGTCTAGTCTATAGTCTAGTCTATAGTCTAGTCTTTAGTCTAGTCTATAGTCTAGTCTATAGTCTAGTCTATAGTCTAGTCTATAGTCTAGTCTATAGTCTAGTCTATAGTCTAGTCTATAGTCTAGTCTATAGTCTAGTCTATAGTCTAGTCTATAGTCTAGTCTATAGTCTAGTCTATAGTCTAGTCTGGTCTATAGTCTAGTCTATAGTTTAGTCTATAGTCTAGTCTATAGTCTAGTCTATAGTCTAGTCTATAGTCTAGTCTATAGTCTAGTCTATAGTCTAGTCTATAGTCTAGTCTATAGTCTAGTCTATAGTCTAGTCTATAGTCTAGTCTATAGTCTAGTCTATAGTCTAGTCTATAGTCTAGTCTATGGTCTAGTCTATAGTCTAGTCTATAGTCTAGTCTATAGTCTAGTCTATAGTCTAGTCTATAGTCTAGTCTATAGTCTAGTCTAGACTAGTCTAGTCTATAGTCTAGTCTAGACTAGTTATAGTCTAGTCTATAGTCTAGTCTATAGTCTAGTCTATAGTCTAGTCTATAGTCTAGTCTATAGTCTAGTCTATAGTCTAGTCTATAGTCTAGTCTATAGTCTAGTCTATAGTCTAGTCTATAGTCTAGTCTATAGTCTAGTCTAGCCTATAGTCTAGTCTATAGTCTAGTCTATAGTCTAGTCTATAGTCTAGTCTATAGTCTAGTCTATAGTCTAGTCTATAGTCTAGTCTATAGTCTAGTCTATAGTCTAGTCTATAGTCTAGTCTATAGTCTAGTCTATAGTCTAGTCTATAGTCTATAGTCTAGTCTATAGTCTAGTCTATAGTCTAGTCTATAGTCTAGTCTATAGTCTAGTCTATAGTCTAGTCTATAGTCTAGTCTATAGTCTAGTCTATAGTCTAGTCTATAGTCTAGTCTATAGTCTAGTCTATAGTCTAGTCTTCAGTCTAGTCTATAGTCTAGTCTATAGTCTATATACTAGTCTATAGTCTAGTCTATAGTCTAGTCTATAGTCTAGTCTATAGTCTAGTCTATAGTCTAGTCTATAGTCTAGTCTATAGTCTAGTCTATAGTCTAGTCTATAGTCTAGTCTATAGTCTAGTCTATAGTCTAGTCTATAGTCTAGTCTATAGTCTAGTCTATAGTCTAGTCTATAGTCTAGTCTATAGTCTAGTCTATAGTCTAGTCTATAGTCTAGTCTATAGTCTAGTCTATAGTCTAGTCTATAGTCTAGTCTATAGTCTAGTCTATAGTCTAGTCTATAGTCTAGTCTATAGTCTAGTCTATAGTCTAGTCTATAGTCTAGTCTATGGTCTAGTCTATAGTCTAGTCTATAGTCTAGTCTAGTCTATAGTCTAGTCTATAGTCTAGTCTATAGTCTAGTCTATAGTCTAGTCTATAGTCTAGTCTATAGTCTAGTCTATAGTCTAGTCTATAGTCTAGTCTATAGTCTAGTCTATAGTCTAGTCTATAGTCTAGTCTATAGTCTAGTCTATAGTCTAGTCTATAGTCTAGTCTATAGTCTAGTCTATAGTCTAGTCTATAGTCTAGTCTATAGTCTAGTCTATAGTCTAGTCTATAGTCTAGTCTATAGTCTAGTCTATAGTCTAGTCTATAGTCTAGTCTATAGTCTAGTCTATAGTCTAGTCTATAGTCTAGTCTGTAGTCTTGTCTATAGTCTAGTCTATAGTCTAGTCTATAGTCTAGTCTATAGTCTAGTCTATAGTCTAGTCTATAGTCTAGTCTATAGTCTAGTCTATAGTCTAGTCTATAGTCTAGTCTATAGTCTAGTCTATAGTCTAGTCTATAGTCTAGTCTATAGTCTAGTCTATAGTCTAGTCTATAGTCTAGTCTATAGTCTAGTCTATAGTCTAGTCTATAGTCTAGTCTATAGTCTAGTCTATAGTCTAGTCTATAGTCTATTCTATAGTCTATTCTATAGTCTAGTCTATAGTCTAGTCTATAGTCTAGTCTATAGTCTAGTCTATAGTCTAGTCTATAGTCTAGTCTTTAGTCTAGTCTATAGTCTAGTCTATAGTCTAGTCTATAGTCTAGTCTATAGTCTAGTCTATAGTCTAGTCTATAGTCTAGTCTATAGTCTAGTCTATAGTCTAGTCTATAGTCTAGTCTATAGTCTAGTCTATAGTCTAGTCTATAGTCTAGTCTATAGTCTAGTCTATAGTCTAGTCTGGTCTATAGTCTATAGTCTAGTCTATAGTCTAGTCTATAGTTTAGTCTATAGTCTAGTCTATAGTCTAGTCTATAGTCTAGTCTATAGTCTAGTCTATAGTCTAGTCTATAGTCTAGTCTATAGTCTAGTCTATAGTCTAGTCTATAGTCTAGTCTATAGTCTAGTCTATAGTCTAGTCTATAGTCTAGTCTATAGTCTAGTCTATAGTCTAGTCTATAGTCTAGTCTATAGTCTAGTCTATAGTCTAGTCTATAGTCTAGTCTATGGTCTAGTCTATAGTCTAGTCTATAGTCTAGTCTATAGTCTAGTCTATAGTCTAGTCTATAGTCTAGTCTAGACTAGTCTAGTCTATAGTCTAGTCTAGACTAGTTATAGTCTAGTCTATAGTCTAGTCTATAGTCTAGTCTATAGTCTAGTCTATAGTCTAGTCTATAGTCTAGTCTATAGTCTAGTCTATAGTCTAGTCTATAGTCTAGTCTATAGTCTAGTCTATAGTCTAGTCTATAGTCTAGTCTATAGTCTAGTCTATAGTCTAGTCTATAGTCTAGTCTATAGTCTAGTCTATAGTCTAGTCTATAGTCTAGTCTATAGTCTAGTCTAGCCTATAGTCTAGTCTATAGTCTAGTCTATAGTCTAGTCTATAGTCTAGTCTATAGTCTAGTCTATAGTCTAGTCTATAGTCTAGTCTATAGTCTAGTCTAGTCTAGTCTATAGTCTATAGTCTAGTCTAGTCTAGTCTATAGTCTAGTCTATAGTCTAGTCTATAGTCTAGTCTATAGTCTAGTCTATAGTCTAGTCTATAGTCTAGTCTATAGTCTAGTCTATAGTCTAGTCTATAGTCTAGTCTATAGTCTAGTCTAGTCTAGTCTTCAGTCTAGTCTATAGTCTAGTCTATAGTCTATATACTAGTCTATAGTCTAGTCTATAGTCTAGTCTATAGTCTAGTCTATAGTCTAGTCTATAGTCTAGTCTATAGTCTAGTCTATAGTCTAGTCTATAGTCTAGTCTATAGTCTAGTCTATAGTCTAGTCTATAGTCTAGTCTATAGTCTAGTCTATAGTCTAGTCTATAGTCTAGTCTATAGTCTAGTCTATAGTCTAGTCTATAGTCTAGTCTATAGTCTAGTCTATAGTCTAGTCTATAGTCTAGTCTATAGTCTAGTCTATAGTCTAGTCTATAGTCTAGTCTATAGTCTAGTCTATAGTCTAGTCTATAGTCTAGTCTATGGTCTAGTCTATAGTCTAGTCTATAGTCTAGTCTAGTCTATAGTCTAGTCTATAGTCTAGTCTATAGTCTAGTCTATAGTCTAGTCTATAGTCTAGTCTATAGTCTAGTCTATAGTCTAGTCTATAGTCTAGTCTATAGTCTAGTCTATAGTCTAGTCTATAGTCTAGTCATATAGTCTAGTCTATAGTCTAGTCTATAGTCTAGTCTATAGTCTAGTCTATAGTCTAGTCTATAGTCTAGTCTATAGTCTAGTCTATAGTCTAGTCTATAGTCTAGTCTATAGTCTAGTCTATAGTCTAGTCTATAGTCTAGTCTATAGTCTAGTCTATAGTCTAGTCTATAGTCTAGTCTATAGTCTAGTCTATAGTCTAGTCTGTAGTCTTGTCTATAGTCTAGTCTATAGTCTAGTCTATAGTCTAGTCTATAGTCTCTATAGTCTAGTCTATAGTCTAGTCTATAGTCTAGTCTATAGTCTAGTCTATAGTCTAGTCTATAGTCTAGTCTATAGTCTAGTCTATAGTCTAGTCTATAGTCTAGTCTATAGTCTAGTCTATAGTCTAGTCTATAGTCTAGTCTATAGTCTAGTCTATAGTCTAGTCTATAGTCTAGTCTATAGTCTAGTCTAGTCTATAGTCTAGTCTATAGTCTAGTCTATAGTCTAGTCTATAGTCTAGTCTATAGTCTAGTCTATAGTCTAGTCTATAGTCTAGTCTATAGTCTAGTCTATAGTCTAGTCTATAGTCTAGTCTATAGTCTAGTCTATAGTTTAGTCTATAGTCTAGTCTATAGTCTAGTCTATAGTCTAGTCTATAGGTCTAGTCTAGATAGTCTATAGTCAGTCTATAGTCCTAGTTCTATAGTCTAGTCTATAGTCCTAGTCTATAGTATAGTCTATAGTCTAGTCTATAGTCCTAGTCTATAGTCCAATCTATAGTCTAGTCTATAGTCTAGTCTATAGTCCAATCTATAGTCTAGTCTATAGTCTAGTCTATAGTCTAGTCTAATAGTCTAGATTATAGTTTAATATATAGTCTAGTATATAATGTACTCTAAGGTCTAGTCTATAGGCATATTTGTTTTCTAGCTATAGAATAGCCTATAGTCTAGTATATAGTTTAGTTTTTTAGTCTCTATATAGTCTAGTCCATAATCTAATTTATAGTCTAGTCTTTAGTCATACTTGCTCATGAGAAAAGTAAATCGTTGTTTGAAAACAAATTTGTTAACAAATGTAAAATTTGGTTGCACTGTTACAATAATTGTTTGTAGCAATTAAACATTTTTTCTTTTAACTAAATTACTTGCCCTGATTTGCAAATTTAAGTATTTTGGATTGGCAATAAAATTTTGTATTTACTTTTGATTAATACTTTTTTTGCTTTGTTTTTTTCCAAACCTTATTTGTTTGTTTTTTTCTGTTCAACAATTTATCAATATTAAATAATTAATTGTTTTTAATGTGCAATACAGTAAACAAATACTCGTAATTAAATAAGCAAATAATACGCCTACAAAAAAATTAATATAAAATTTCGTAATATAATTTGGTTTGTTTTAAAAAAGTAACATAAAAATACAATAATAAAAAAATTATTTAAATAAAGGAGGAATAAATAAATAAAAAAAAGTTTAAATAGATTATGTTTATGTAGTAAAAATAATAAAAAAGATACTAATCTTTTATAAAATAATACAAAAAAGTAATTTTGAAAATAAATAAATTAAAAATAATAAAAAAATAAAAAAAACTATTAACTATAATAAAAATGTTAAAAATAATTTTTTGTTCTACTAATGTTCTTTGACGAAAGTGTTTGAAAAAGTGAGTTTCGAAAGTTTATAACAGATTTGAAACATAAGTATAACAGTTTTCTAAAGTAACGTATAACAGTTTCCAATAAAGTATAACAGTTTTCTAAAGTAAAGTACAACAGTTTATATTAAAGTTGCAACTTGCTTAGCAACATGCTGCCACAAGTTTGACGAAAGTTGAAACATTTTATTAAAACATATTCAATTGTTCAGCAACATGTTTATAAAGTTAGCTTTAACAGTTTCTAAACATGCTTTGCAACATGTTGCCATAAGTTTATTTCTTTATTTGCTTTCTAAAGCCTCTTTTCAAACACTTTCACCTAAAATCTCTTTCCTTATATCTTTCTTCTTTAGCTCTTGCAATTAGACATCACCTTTCGGATATACTCTCTTTTCTCCATCTACTCTTCTTTCTCTCTCTCTCTCTTTCTATCTTTAATATCACATCTACACCGGTATCACATCGATAACAGTAGAAGTTTGACTTAAACTGGTCTCGGAATTCGGTATGCTCGAGTACATCTTCTTGCGATTTTTGGTGTGGCGTATAATCAAACCCAAGGCAATGCATAACATGGATCCAATAAAGAGTACAATCATGACCACATAATCGATTTCATCGAAGATAATGCGCATGCGATTTTGGGTGCTGGGTGCACGTTCTTCGGTGCTGAAGTCCCCATAAGGTTGGTATAGAGGCTTAAGAGGTTCGGGGGCTGTTGTGGTGGAGGTTGAGGAAGATTCGGCTGAGATAGAGACTTCTGTAGAGGTGGTGAAGTCGCTGCTATAGGAAAATGGTGAAGACGTTGTTGAGGTTGAGGAGATTGTGGTAGAAGATTGGCTTGAAGTCGAGGAAGTTCTTAAGGGTGTTTGAGTTGAGGTCCAGGTGCTTGTAGTAGGTGTTTGATTTGAGGTTTCAGTTGTAGTAGTTTCTAGGGGTGTATAAGTGCTGGATTCGTCGCTGTTTATCTTAGGTATTGTGGGGGATGAGATCGTTTTAATTGTATTGGAAGTTTCTTCGGTCGTCGAGGATTCAAAGGCGGCTGAAGTTGAGTATGATAGAGAAGAGGCCATTGTAGTTTCGGGAGTCTGAGTAGTGGTGAAGACACTGTTAACTTCTATGGAGGTTTCAGAGGCTTTTGTGGTTTCAAAATCAATGGGGGAAATTGTAGTAGAAGCTGTTGAAGAAAATATGTCTTCCATAATACTGGAGGACTCCCCACTCCTTGAGGTAGTACTGGAAATTTCTTCAGTTGTAGTTGTCAGCAAACTTTCGGTGGTTGTAGTCTCTTCTTTGACTAACTCCACTGGGACTTCAGTTGAGGTCTTGGTTACTGTGGATATAGAGGATGTTTGAGGTTCTTCTGTGGTAGTAATAGTTGACGAGGAATCTTGTTCAAGTTCCTCAATTTGTACAGATTTTGAAATATCAAATGAAAAAGCTGTAGTGGAACTGATAGTTGTAGAAGAAATCTCCTCGAAATCCTCTATAGGCTTAGATTCTTCGGTGATAGTGTTATTGTTAGACATCACGGAATCTAGTACCAGTTCTGCTATCATTTTAGGCACTTCTGTTGAGGTCACTGTAGAGGGTAAAGACTCCTCTGAGGACCCGGTAGAAGAAGAAGAAATTTCCCAAATAGTAGACACAGTAGAGTTTGACATGGTTTCCAATAAAGATTCTAAAGTTGCATTCTCAGAATGAGACGTATTTCCAGCAAAAAGATCTCCTGTTTCTGGTTTGTAAGTAGATGAAGAAATCTCTTCAACTTCAAAAGGTTTAGTTGACAATTCTCTGGGCCAGGGAGATATTGTTTGGGCTTCATTTATTAGCCCCTCATCTATAACTGGCAAGTTGGCATTTTCTATAGAGATTGTTGAATTAGTTTCTTCACTTACTCTTATTAAGGGTGTCTCAATAGTACTGGATTCTGTAGTATAATCTTCTACCACTTCCTCTATATCTTCCTCATTATTGTGTACAATTTCTGGCCTCTCATCTAGATCATTATCGTCCAAACATTTGGGACAACATTCATCCTCAAACGTTTCGGTATGTTTACAATCCAATTCGGGACAACCTGGAGCAAAACATCTTCTTTCCCCTTTTTCACAAGTACAACTAGTACAGCTGCCCTCTTTCCAAAAGGCACCATTCATCATGGGTTTTTGCAGGTATTCTGAATAGCAATTTTGCAAAATTTCCTCTTCGGGACATATCTGTAAACACATTTCTGACTCGCCAAAACAAGAACATTTGCGGCATTTATTAGTCCACCAGGATTGTTTTACGCCCATCTTACACTCCTCCTTTTCGACACACTTATAGATCGAACAACAATTTCCCGGCAATCCCTGGCCCTCATGCACTTCGATGGCTACATACCCGGCGGCACATTTAGGAACATCATCACATTTGTTGCAAACACACTTCTGATCATCACAACATCTTTCGATTTCTTCTTGAAAGAATACTTCTCTCTTTGTCTTTCTTTGAGAATGTGCTGTGGCATATGGGTGTCATGTAGTTCTTCTTCGGGTGGTAGTTCTTCAAAATGCCCCAGTTCCTCTATGTAGGGATCATGACCCAGAAATTCATCTTCATAGTCTTCGTCCTCTTCGTCGTCGAGTGCGGACTTGAGGTAACTGTCATGTGGGCATTTTGTAGGACATTGTATATGTGTGCAGTGCAGATCGTTGGAATCTGTAAGAGAAAGAGAAATAATTTGTTAGTTTCCTTTTTGAAAACAAAGTTGTGTCTGTAAGGTTAAAGTAGAAGGAAAGAGGAAGTGTAACTAACTGACTAACTAACTAACTAACTACTAACTAAACTAACTAACTAACTAACTAACTAACTAACTAACTAACTAACTAACTAACTAACTAACTACTAACTAACTAACTAACTAACTAACTAACTAACTAACTAACTAACTAACTAACTAACTAACTAACTAACTACTAACTAACTAACTACTAACTAACTAACTAACTAACTAACTAACTAACTAACTAACTAACTAACTAACTAACTACTAACTAACTAACTAACTAACTAACTAACTAACTAACTAACTAACTAACTAACTAACTAACTAACTAACTAACTAACTAACTAACTAACTAACTAACTAACTAACTAACTACTAACTAACTAACTAACTAACTAACTAACTAACTAACTAACTAACTAACTAACTAACTAACTAACTAACTAACTAACTAACTAACTAACTAACTAACTAACTAACTAACTAACTAACTAACTAACTAACTAACTAACTAACTAACTAACTAACTAACTAACTAACTAACTAACTACTAACTAACTAACTAACTACTAACTAACTAACTAACTAACTACTAACTAACTAACTAAACTAACTAACTAACTAACTAACTAACTAACTAACTAACTAACTAACTAACTAACTAACTAACTAACTAACTAACTAACTAACTAACTACTAACTAACTAACTAACTAACTAACTAACTAACTAACTAACTAACTAACTAACTAACTAACTAACTACTAACTAACTAACTAACTAACTAACTAACTAACTAACTAACTAACTACTAACTAACTACTAACTAACTAACTAACTACTAACTACTAACTAACTACTAACTAACTAACTAACTAACTAACTAACTAACTAACTAACTAACTACTAACTAACTAACTACTAACTAACTAACTAACTAACTAACTAACTAACTAACTAACTAACTAACTAACTAACTAACTAACTAACTAACTAACTAACTAACTAACTACTAACTAACTAACTAACTAACTAACTAACTAACTAACTAACTAACTACTAACTAACTAACTACTAACTAACTAACTAACTAACTAACTAACTAACTAACTAACTAACTAACTAACTAACTAACTAACTAACTAACTAACTAACTAACTAACTAACTAACTAACTAACTAACTAACTAACTAACTAACTACTAACTAACTAACTAACTAACTAACTAACTAACTAACTAACTAACTAACTAACTAACTACTAACTAACTAACTAACTAACTAACTAACTAACTAACTAACTAACTAACTAACTAACTAACTAACTAACTACTAACTAACTAACTAACTAACTACTAACTAACTAACTAACTAACTAACTAACTAACTAACTAACTAACTAACTAACTAACTAACTAACTAACTAACTAACTAACTAACTAACTAACTAACTAACTAACTAACTAACTAACTAACTAACTAACTAACTAACTACAACTAACTAACTAACTAACTAACTAACTAACTAACTAACTAACTAACTAACTAACTAACTAACTAACTAACTAACTAACTAACTAACTAACTAACTAACTAACTAACTAACTAACTAACTAACTAACTAACTAACTAACTAACTAACTAACTAACTAACTAACTAACTAACTAACTAACTAACTAACTACTAACTAACTAACTAACTAACTAACTAACTAACTAACTAACTAACTAACTAACTACTAACTAACTAACTAACTAACTAACTAACTAACTAACTAACTAACTAAACTAACTAACTAACTACTAACTAACTAACTAACTAACTAACTAACTAACTAACTAACTACTAACTAACTAACTAACTAACTAACTAACTAACTAACTAACTAACTAACTACTAACTAACTAACTAACTAACTAACTAACTAACTACTAACTAACTAACTAACTAACTAACTAACTAACTAACTAACTAACTACTAACTAACTAACTAACTAACTAACTAACTAACTAACTACTAACTAACTAACTAACTAACTAACTAACTAACTAACTAACTAACTAACTAACTACTAACTAACTAACTAACTAACTAACTAACTAACTAACTAACTAACTAACTAACTAACTAACTAACTAACTAACTAACTATTAATTTTAATAGAAATTATAAATATGTGTATCTGTAGAATTTTATTGAAATAATCATTTACTATCTTTTATTTTTAAAACCTTAGAGCTTTAAGCTGTTAAAAAAGTTCAAATAACGTTTTTGTACACTCTTTTTCTCTCTCTAATGCAATTATTATAAACCACACTGTTTTAAACATAAATATCAGTAAATCAGATTACAAACAAACAAAAATCAATATGCCTTTGAGTCATAATTATGAATGTGTGTGTCTCTCTGTTTGTAAAGCATCAAATGTCATCAGAAATTTTCCCACATTAATGTCAACAACTAAATGGCATTTAAACCATAATGCAGCAAATAGCAATCATAATTTGAAATGACTGACTGGCTACATCTGCTTCTTATTGTACCAAAGGTCACCAATAACAGTTAACAAGGGACGAGGGAATTAGCTCAACACCAGTGAAATTCTTAAAAAATTTATAAACGAACCTTTATCTTTCCTGAAAAGGTGGACATATCTTCGTGCCTGCCACTGCTTTATATTCGTTGATATCTTGTGTACAAGAGTTGGAGCTCTACAAGCGAGTAAATTTTTATCTTTTTTGTAAGGCTATGTGTGTTTGTTATTTGTATATATAATAGAAAAAAAGGATCTGCAATCCAAAAAGCTTAAAGGCATTTAAGTTTGAAAATACCGCATTTGAAACAGAGACAGTGCGAGCACAACTTCGAACCTTAAAAAATAAACACACAGACAATGCTACAGACACACACCAAATCCATCGACAGACAATCATTGAGTAAAATAAAACTAGAAAAGCGGTATATAAAGACGTAGATTGCAAAAGTACCCTACTATTCTAGTTCAGTTCTACTTTAGTTGTAGTTCTAGTTCAGTTATATTTCAGTTCCAGTTCAGTTCTAGTTCTGTTCTAGTTCTGTTCTAGTTCTGTTCTAGTTCTGTTCTAGTTCTGTTCTAGTTTCTGTTCTAGTTCTGTTCTAGTTCTGTTCTAGTTCTGTTTCTAGTTCTGTTCTAGTTCTGTTCTAGTTCTGTTCTAGTTCTGTTCTAGTTCTGTTCTAGTTCTGTTCTAGTTCTTGTTCTAGTTTCTGTTCTAGTTCTGTTCTAGTTCTGTTCTAGTTCTGTTCTAGTTCTGTTCTAGTTCTGTTCTAGTTCTGTTCTAGTTTCTGTTGCTAGTTCTGTTCTAGTTTTCTAGTTCTGTTCTAGTTCTGTTCTAGTTCTGTTCTAGTTCTGTTCTAGTTCTGTTCTAGTTCTGTCTAGTTTCTGTTCTAGTTCTGTTCTAGTTCTGTTCTAGTTCTGTTCTAGTTCTGTTCTGTTCTGTGTTCTAGTTCTGTTCTAGTTCTGTTCTAGTTCTGTTCTAGTTCTGTTCTAGTTCTGTTCTAGTTCGGTTCTAGTTCTGTTCTAGTTCTGTTCTAGTTCTGTTCTAGTTCTGTTCTAGTTCTGTTCTAGTTCTGTTCTAGTTCTGTTCTAGTTCTGTTCTAGTTCTGTTCTAGTTCTGTTCTATTTCTGTTCTAGTTCTTTCTATTTCTGTTCTATTTCTGTTCTAGTTCTGTTCTAGTTCTGTCTAGTTCTGTTCTAGTTCTGTTCTAGTTCTGTTCTAGTTCTGTTCTAGTTGCTGTTCTAGTTCTGTTCTAGTTTCTGTTCTAGTTCTGTTCTAGTTCTGTTCAAGTTCTGTTCTAGTTCTGTTCTAGTTCTGTTCTAGTTCTGTTCTAGTTTTGTTCTGTTCTAGTTTTGTTCTGTTCTAGTTCAGTTCAAGTTCTGTTCTAGTTCAGTTCAAGTTCTGTTCTAGTTCTGTTCTAGTTCTATTCTAGTTCTGTTCTAGTTCTGTTCTAGTTCTGTTCTAGTTCTGTTCTAGTTCTGTTCTAGTTCTGTTCTAGTTCTGTTCTAGTTCTGTTCTAGTTCTGTTCTAGTTCTGTTCTAGTTCTGTTCTAGTTCTGTTCTAGGTTCTGTTCTAGTTCTGTTCTAGTTCTGTTCTAGTTCTGTTCTAGTTCTGTTCTAGTTCTGTTCTAGTTCTGTTCTAGTTCTGTTCTAGTTCTGTTCTAGTTCTGTTCTAGTTCTGTTCTAGTTTTGTTCTGTTGTAGTTCTGTTCTAGTTCTGTTTTAGTTCTGTTCTAGTTCTGTTCTAGTTCTGTTCTAGTTCTGTTCTAGTTCTATTCTAGTTCTGTTCTAGTTCTGTTCTAGTTCTGTTCTAGTTCTGTTCTAGTTCTGTTCTAGTTCTGTTCTGTTCTAGTTCTGTTTTAGTTCTGTTCTGTTCTAGTTCTGTTCTAGTTCTGTTCTAGTTCTGTTCTAGTTCTGTTCTAGTTTCTGTTCTAGTTCTGTTCTAGTTCTGTTCTAGTTCTGTTCTAGTTCTGTTCTAGTTCTGTTCTAGTTCTGTTCTAGTTCTGTTCTAGTTCTGTTCTAGTTCTGTTCTAGTTGTTCTAGTTCTGTTATAGTTCTGTTATAGTTCTGTTCTAGTTCTGATCTAGTTCTGTTTTAGTTCTGTTCTAGTTCTGGTTCTGTTCTGGTTCTGGTTTTTATTTAGTTCATTTCTTTCATGTCTTCCCCATCTAAAGCTGTAGTGTAGGGTACAAAAACTGTCAGTATTCTTATTGTAATAATAATTGCTCAAAAATTATAAAAGACCAAAATTTTCCATGAACCATGAATGAAATATGTAAATGGATAGATATAGTCAGAAAGGCGGGCAGTGTGACAAAAGGGCCTAAAGGGGAGCGAGCAACAGCTAAAGTAAGAGTAAGTATATAAGGAGTGTTTTTGCAAAAATTTAGCTCCAACAAAA